TGACTGCTAAGAACCTCGGCGTCACACTCGACAGCCAACTCTCCCTGACTCCCAAAATCACCGCGACAACGCGATCCTGTAGATACTCGCTCTACAACATCAGGAGAATACGTCCCCACTCCACTCTTCCGCTCTCTTCACTGGCTACCGGTGGCCGCCCGCATCCAGTTCAAAACATTGGTGCTCACGTACCATGCTGTGAATGGATCGGGTCCAGCTTACATCCAGGACATGGTCAAACCCGACATCCCGACCCGCACTCTCCGCTCTGCATCTGCAAAACTACTCGTCCCTCCCTCACTGAGAGCAAAACACTCGACTAGATCTCGACTCTTTGCTGTCCTTGCGCAGATATGGTGGAACGAGCTCTCTGAAGACACCAGGACCGCAGAGAGCCTTCCCATCTTCCGCCGCAAACTAAAGACACACCTCTTCAGACTCTACCTCGACTAAAGACTAACAAATTGTAGCACTTAAATTGTACTTGTAACGTCACTAATCTATAGCAAATTGTAAATTGGCTTATTTGAGGAAATTGCACTTTCTTGTTTCTTGTTCTCCTGAGTTTGTACCCTATGGTTGAATGCACTTATTGTACGTCGCTTTGGATAAAAACGTCCGCTAAATGACATGTAATGTAATGTAATGTAATGATTGACACATCTCTACACTTTTGTTTTCATCCTTCGCAATAAAAGCCCCGGATACCTTCACTGGGACACTGTTAGCTTGCTAGCAGCATCCTTCAGGTCGGGGAGCTGCAGGACAAACAAACTGAGGTCAGACCTCACAGGAAGTCGTCATACGGTGAACAGTAGTGAGATCTGATCTGAGAGCCAGCTGATCTTCATCTGCGTGCTGGGAGCAACACTCCGTCAAAACTCCATCGTCCAATAAGGAGCCAGAGAAAAGCCACCAGCTGATCACTGAAGTAGAACTAGATACATCCTCACTCTTTCTTACTATCTTAACATGCTTCATCTTAATGCCCGTTGCCTTAAAACTGTCAGGATGAAAAAGGAATGGAAGATGTGCTAACTTCAGAATAAAAGCCTCAACCGTGTGCTGACTAGAAATATGATTATTATTAGTTATACAGAACAAAGTCCTTAATCTCCAATTTTAGTGCCTTTGGTGTAAGTTGTTCGAACAGCGGACTTTGTCTCTCTCTGCATACTGTTGATGACTGAATCCTCCAGCAGTCAGCATGAGTCAGAGGAGGAAACAAACCTCACCTGCTGATGACGCTCCAGTAGGAGGCGGAGCTACACGGAGGGGCGGAGCTTCCACGTCACTCTCCAGAAATGAAAGTTCGTTGGTCAGAGAGGCAGACGCGCTGCAGTGAAGACAAGTCTCCGTGTTTCTCTGAGAGAAAAGTCAAAGTGACGTCATCAGGTGTTCCTCAGCAACACAGCAGAGTCTCTTCAGAACACTGGTGAGTACAGCTGGTCACATTTACACCTTCAACAAGCAGGAAGAACACACAACTTGTACTTTACTCAGGCAGGAAGTTCCTCTCTGTTCACTTCCTACTTGATAGAATGTTAACAATAAAACCACGTGTGTTTATCCACAGTCCCACGATACAGTAACTCAGTCTAACAGCTTCAAACTGTCCAGGACTTCAGTCACTTGGAGCTGAATCTCTGTGCTTTAAACTTTAGTGTCTCTCTGTTTCCTGATCCCTTCCTCTGTTTCCTCTTGGTGCGTCACGTTAAACGTGTTCCACAGCGAACCTGCTGGAGGCTTTTAGTGTGAGTCATCTAAATGAGACGCTACGTGTTTGTCACCAAGTAAGCAGAACGTTGTTAGCGTGCTGCTCTTTATTCACAGCATGTGCACACATTCTGGACTTGTTTCGAAATAAAAATATTCATAAAAACTATTTAAAATAAAACGTTTTTCCTTCTCTTCCACAACATGTGTAGACATGGCTTCTGCAAACTATGGTCCATCTGAAGATCAGTTCCTGTGCTCCATCTGTCTGGATGTGTTCACTGATCCAGTCACCACATCATGTGGGACACAACTTCTGCATAAACTGCATCAATGAACACTGGAACACCAGCGACCAGAACCTGTGTCCAATGTGTAAGAAGGACTTCATCACCAGACCTGATTTGAGGGTCAACACCTTCATCTCTGAGATGGTTGTTCAGTTCAGACAGTCTGCTCAGCAGAAAGCCAGCAGCAGCTCAGAGCAACAAGAGTCCAAATCAGGAGAAGTTCCCTGTGACGTCTGCACTGGAACCAACGTGAAGGCCCTCAAGTCCTGCCTGGTGTGTCTGGTCTCCTACTGTGAGACTCACCTGGAGCCTCATCTGACTATGTCAGGTCTGAAGAGACATCAGCTGATGGACCCTGTGGAGAACCTGGAAGGCAGGATGTGTACGAAGCACGATAAACCTCTGGAGCTGTTCTGTAAGAGCGACCAGACGTGTGTCTGCATGCTCTGCAGTGTTTTAGACCACAAGATGCATGATGTTGTTCCTCTGAAAGAAGAATTTGAAGAAAAGAAGGTCGAGCTGAAGAAGACAGAGGCTGAAATCCAGCAGATGATCCAGAAGAGAAGAGTAAAGATTCAAGAGATCAAACACTCGGTCGACCTCTGTGAGGAAGATGCAGGCAGAGAGAAAGCAGAAGGTGTTCAGGTCTTCACTGATCTGATGGAGTCTGTTGGAAGAGGCTTGAAGGAGCTCCTCAAAACCATAGAAGAGAAGCAGGAAGCCACAAAGAAACAGGCTGAAGCTTTCATCAGAGAGCTGGAAGAGGAAATCTCTGAGCTGATGAAGAGGAGCGCTGAGGTGGAGCAGCTGTCTCTCTCTGAAGACCACCTCCATCTTCTCCAGTCCTCAAACATCCATCAGCCACCACCCACCAAGGACTGGACAGAGGTCAGTGTTTGTCCTTCATATGAGGGGACTGTGGTGAGAGCTGTGTCTCAGCTGGAGGAGACACTCAGTAAGAAGATGAAGAAGTGGTTTGCTGAGCTGAAGAGGGTCCAGATGTTTGCAGTGGATCTGACTCTTGATCTTCAAACAGCTAACCCTTATCTCATCCTGTCTGACGATGGGAAACAAGTGAAGGACAGTGATGTGAAGAAGAAGCTCCCAAACAACCCAGAGAGATTTTCTAGCTGGCACTGTGTTTTAACAAAGCAGAGTTTCTCTTCAGGCAGATTCTACTTTGAGGTTCAGGTTGAAGGAAAGACTGAGTGGTTTTTAGGAGTGACCAGAAAGTCAGTCAACAGGAAGGGATTCATCTCACAGAGTCCTCAGGATGGTTACTGGATCATACGTTTGAGAAATGGAAATAAATACAAAGCTCTTGATGATCCTTCAGTTGTTCTCCCTCTGAAGTCTGGTCCTCAGAAGGTGGGGGTGTTTGTGGACTATGAGGAGGGTGTGGTCTCCTTTTATGACGTAGAAGCTGCAGCTCTCATCTACTCCTTCACTGGCTGCTCCTTCACTGAGAAGCTCTTCCCGTTCTTCAGTCCTGGTGATAATTACGATGGTAGAAACTCTGCTCCTCTGATCATCTCTCCTGTCGGAGTAAATTAATTATTCTCTTCTGTCATGTGATGATTTTATTCATTAAAGGGAATAAATGTACATATTTTATATAAATACTGTATGTTTTTCTCTTTATTTCTGTATCATGACGCCTTATGGAGAATATCTATTTCAACCTTTTGAATGTTTTATTTTCACTAAATATCCAAAGCTGAAGTTTGACTTTGAGTAAATCAGCAAAACAAATTATATCTGATGTGAAGCCTCTGAAAACATATTGTTGAATATTTAATATTCGCATAAACGCCTCTGACCTTTCCATCATGTTCACAGAATACACTTTGTGTTGTTGTTATTGTGCCTGAAAGTGAATTAATAATATAGATGCAAATGTTCTTTTGGTGTGAAAAGTGGTTTGAATTTTTATTTTGAATTATTGAATGACGGGTTTACACAAGTTATATTTATATTCATGTTAATTAAAAACGTCTTGTTTAATGCAGGAAACACGTCCGAGTTCTTTGTTTATTGATCACGTGACAATTGGTCAGTGTGAACGACACGAGTTCCACAGAAAGATCAATTCTAACGTGAGTTAATACGCGAGGTTGATGAAACTGTTCAGTGGCTTCAGATACTGAGGAGAATCCACTCGACTGAGAACCAGCAGCAGAATAATAACCAAATACAACTGTAATTATACACAAACGTTGATCCACAGTTTTCCTGCTGTAGTAACAAAGTATTTATTTGGTGCCGGAGAGCAAAACCATGAACTTAAATGATGTAACAAGAGTTTAGCAGCTGAGCTGTAGTTGTTGGAGCTGCACAGGCTGTTATTCATGAAGCAGCTTCATGAGTTTATGACGTCATACGTGTTTGTCTCCTTGATGACACGTGCACAGCGACTGGACCACGTGGAGGAGGCGTGACCTCCTTTAGATACAAGATCACCTCACAAGACAACTTCATAGTTCCTTCACGTTTCTTTTTATTGTCCTAAAGAGGGTCGTCCTCTTTAAAATGACTAAACAAAACATTTGATCACTTTTTAAAAGTCGAGAACGAACAGAAAGACGACCGATGACAAAGAAAAACACACAATAAATACTTTGAAGCATCCGAGCAAAGAGAAGATTCCTGTTTGCGATCTCATGAGAAGCAGGAAGACGGTCGGTACCAACACGTCAGACGGTGTAACCCGGGTACATGAGGCTGTCAGCACGTGTGCTGCACCACCCAGAAGGAAGGAGCCCCTTCACGGTAACACGCTCCACCTGCAGAGTGCACGCCTACGTCATGACCCAGAGACTCTGAACGCCACAAAACGGCTCATTCAGGTTTTTCATCCACATGTAGTTTTTCTCGTGTTGTTTCTGTGTGGAGAACAGAAGTAAGTAAAAGGTCAAATTCATTTATAAAGTGCTTTCCACAGACCGAGATCACAAAGTGCTACAGGGCAGGAATTTAACACAAAGAGGTGTAACACAATACGGCCTCGAAAGCTCGATCACCAGGGGTCTTGAGGGGCACGAGGAGGGTGGAGGACATCGCGGAGAATCTGGAGTTTCGGCTGCAAGGTGAAGCGTGAAGCTTTGGATGAGCGCTGTGACGTCCGTCACGCGGCCCAGCTGCTCATGTCTCCCCGGTGGACGACGAGCGACTTCAAGCTTACGGAGGAGCTGGCAGCAATGCGGCCAATGAAAGGAACCACGACGGGGAGGGATCTGTTCACCGAGGCAAACGCATGCAGGGACAAACCGGGACTCCGATGGGACAGACTGGCAGGGGTCACCACGGATGGATGTCTGAATCTGACTGGGAAGAATGTTGGGCTTTTGAACAGAATGCAAGATAAAGCGAGTGAACTCACCGCAGAGCAGAAATTGGTGTTCATACATTGTGTTATTCATCAGCAAGCGTTGTGTAAGTCAGCGCTTAAACTCGGGCATGTGGTTGATGTTGTTACTACAGTGGATTTCATGGGAGCGCGAGCATTGAATCACAGGCAGTTTGTTTCACTATTGGAGGAGCGAGAGAGCGAACATGCTGATGTCCGGTACCACACAGCTGTCACATGGCTCAGTCTGGGCAAAGTGCTGAAAAGGTTCTGAGTTCTGAAATCAGAGGTAAAAGAGTTTTGTGAGATGAAAGACAAAACCACCCCAGAGCTGTCTGATAAGGACCGGATGGCAGATTGAACGTTTGCTGTTGCTGTGACTGCAGTGATGAATGAACTGAACACACAGCTGCAGGCCGAGGGCCTCTTTGCTCATGAAATGCACATCCATGTGAAAGCCTTCGTGACAAAGTTGCAATTCATTTCAAGGCAACTGGGCAGCAACAATGTCAAACACGTGAGAACCCTGAACGAATTCAAACCATCATCTGATCACCGGTACTCATCCATGTTAGGAGCACCGCGTGATGAATTTAAGGCGTTTTCAAGCTTTCAAAAAGGTTGAGGATGAAATGCAGCTGGTTTCCTCTCCCTTTACCTGCAGTGTTGATAGTGCACCCACTAATGTTCAGCTTGAACTCACTGACCTGCAGTCTGATTCACTACTGAAAGAGCACTTTAAGTCAGCATCACTGCCAGAGTTCTACTCTGCTCTCAAGGAGGAGAACTTTCCAAACACGAGGAGACGTGCTCAGAAGATGTTGGTTCTCTGTGGATCCACCTACATGTGTGAACAGACATCCTCAGTCATGAAGTTTACCAAATCCAGGTACAGATCCTCTCTCACTGATGAACATCTGTCAGCTGTGCTTCGCATCTCCACCTCTGACATTCAACCTGACTTTGATGGACTTGTTGCAGCTCCACAGAGACTGGATTTCTCACACTGAATGAGAAAAGAAGAACTGAAGAACACTAAAATGTGGGAAGATAACAAGTGAAATGGGACACTTGATGTGTTTCTTTTCTTTTTTTGCACAGTTCTGAAAATGTTTTAATACAGGCATGTAAAGTCAAAAAGGCTACGAAACTGGGACTGATGATGTGATGTCTTTAGAAAGCTAAGAAAATCCTTGTTTCAATAGTATATGAAACTCAAAATGCCCTTTGGTATTAATGTGACTGAAAATGAGTCAAATGTTTCACATTTTGAAAATTATATTTGAATAAATTATACTTTTGAAAGCTAACCTCACCTTTGAATTGCCAAATAATAACATACACTCTTACCAGCGGTCAAAACAATGCCATTTACTGCTTTTAATATAGAAAAAAATGTTTATTATGCATAATTGAGTTCGGCATTTTGGCCTGGCCCCCCAAAATATTTTCAGTTTCTCATTTGGCCCCCTGGGAAAAATAATTGCCCCCCCCTGCTCTACCAGGTCAAAAAAACGACCGTGCATTATATGCTTCATGTTTTTATATGATGATGATTGGCATGTCCCAGAGTCAAAGTGATTATCATCAAGTTAAACTGATGTTCCAGCAGGAAGAACTTACTGGTTTTGGTCAGACATGCAAGGAATTAAATATAAACAGGCAGAGCAGGACCAGCCTGAGTACATGACCTATAATCATACACAGGACGAGTCACTTTGTACTCTCAGAGGTCCTGTTTTTACATTATAGACAGGTTAGAAGCACGTGTCAAAGGCCATCTGGTGTTGTGAAATCACCAGAAAGTACACGTATGCAAATGATTGAAATAAACCAGCTGAACACAGATAATAATACAATTATAAATAGATAATAATCATATAGGTAATAATACATAAAACGGATAAAAAACAGCAGCCTGTAATATGTTTCAAGTGTTTGCATGAATGAAATAGAGACGTTAAAATGAACACATGAATAATATTTGCATGTTGTTTTTTCATTATATTCTGTTGGACAGGCGGCCTAATCAAATATTGAATTTGAATTTGAACATTTGGAAGAGAACCAGTTCATCAAGGCCTCCATACACATTTGAACACATCTAATAAGTAAACCAGCCAACACATTAATTACCCTCACGGCCTTGAACACCTTTGTAGGCTTTACCTCAGCGGGGCATCACTCCCGCGGTGCACAAGTAAGAAGAAGTGCGCGCGGTCCTCCGAAAACCCCCCCACAAGCCCCGCCTCCCTCACCTGTGCGCCCGAGATGCCGCATCACACCAAATGATACGTTCTCTTCCTTTTTTCTGCCATGTTTTCGGGGTAAGAATGTGCGTTCAGCTCCGCATCATTGCTGTTCCCGCACTCACCTTTGAACTAGAATAGGTCAGAGTTCGACTAAATTATCAAAACTTTCATGTATTATACAAATATTTTCAATTATTTTATTTTAAATATCTTGTCATTTTCATATACATATAAATGAAAGTGTGATTAAAAAATTCATTAATTTTAAAATTAATTAAATTTTTATTAGACCGCTCACTAGTGGTGAGTTGTGCTATCTTTAGAACAGGCCTGCGGGCGCCTCATATGGTCCTTGCGGGCGACCTGGTGCCCGCGGGCACTGGGTTGGTGACACCTGCCCTACACTATCTTGTCGTAAACCTTTTGCCGTCCCCAGTATCACCATGACTCCTGTCTTTACATATCTTTGCAACCTTCTCTCTGTTGAATTGTAACTCATCTGTATATCTATGTTAATATAGATGTATCCCTACTCTCTAAAAACTGATTATAACATGAATATATGTTGGACAATGAGAAACATTTTCCCTTCACAGTGATGAAAGTGGCTGTAGGTGCAGTGTACAGAATCTGAACCCAGTTAATAAACGATTCCCCAAAACGTTTGTAATGTGCTCATGAGAAATGTCGAGTTTACTTTGTCAGAGGCTTTTCCTGCGTCCAAAGAGGCTGCGATGGTTCCGCTTGTTGTAATCATGAGTTCTTTATTAAATTAAACTGTCTGCGTGTGTTGGTGGAGGAACGTCTACCTTTGATAAAGCCGGTTTGATCTGGACGAATTGTGGATGGGGTGACTTTTTCTGATCTGTGAGCTGGTGCCTGACTGATGATTTTAATATCTACAGTGAGGAGGGAAATAGGACGTTAAGTTTGGAAGAGTTGGATCTTTGTTTGGTTTGACGAGGACTAAAATACGGAAATTGCTAATTTTGTTTTTTTCTCAGTTATCATCGGTGCTTTGTTATTGGCCATAAGGTCTTTATGTGTTAAAGGTGAGTCACGTATGTTAGTTTGTTCTTGGTTAATCTGTGGTAGATCAAAGGTGTTGAGAAATGAGATCATGTCTTCTGGATTTGGGTCCTTTTTAGATGAATGTATATTGGCATGAAAACTTCTGAAGATATTATTCTGTCATCGGGTGAATTTGTGGGGTTTCCTTCTGAGTGCTTAATGATTGAGTTTTTTATTTTTTCATTTAATTTAACTAGATTTGCCAAATATTTACCAGCTGTATTGCTATGGTGAAAATGGTCTTGTCTAAGTCTGTGTCTTAGGAATTGAATTTTATTATTTATAATTTAATTTATTTGGAATTCATACTTCCTTAATGTGTTACCAATGTTGGGTCACTTGCATTAATAAAGTCGATTGATTTGTTTTTATTTTCATTTTTTGTAAACTTGAATGAGATGATTATTCCTCTTAAAGCTGCTTTCCTTGTTTCCTGTAGGATGGTCGGTGAAACTGGGGAAGCACGTGTTTCTAGGAAGGATGCCCACTCTTTTTTAATCACACTGTAAAGTGAGGATCTTTGACCAGCGACGTGTTGAATCTAGTGACAGATTTCGGTGTTAAATCTGTTCCATATAAAAGTCACCAGCATGCTCACTAATAATGAGAGGATGAGTATTCAGGTCGGAAATATTCAATATAATTGAATTGTTGCTGAGGAAGAAGTACTTTCCGATACTTAAATAATCATTTGCTGTTTGTAGCAAGACTTTACTATCTGATTGACACTCCAGAACATCTCTACACTTTTGTTTCCATTCTTCACAATAAAAGCCCCGGATACCTTCACTGGGACACTGTTAGCTTGCTAGCAGCATCCTTCAGGTCGGGGAGCTGCAGGACAAACAAACTGAGGTCAGACCTCACAGGAAGTCGTCACACGGTGAACAGTAGTGAGATCTGATCTGAGAGCCAGCTGATCTTCATCTGCATGCTGGGAGCAACACTCCGTCAAAACTCCATCGTCCAATAAGGAGCCAGAGAAAAGCCACCAGCTGATCACTGAAGTAGAACTACATACATCCTCACTCTTTCTTACTATCTCAACATGCTTCATCTTAACGCCCGTTGCCTTAAAACTGTCAGGATGAAACAGGAAGGAAAGATGTGCTAACTTCAGAATAAAAGCCTCAGCCGTGTGCTGACTAGAAATATGATTATTATTAGTTATACAGAACAAAGTCCTTAATCTCCAATTTTAGTACCTTTGGTGTAAGTTGTTCGAACAGCGGACTTTGTCTCTCTCTGCATACTGTTGATGACTGAATCCTCCAGCAGTCAGCATGAGTCAGAGGAGGAAACAAACCTCACCTGCTGATGACGCTCCAGTAGGAGGCGGAGCTACACGGAGGGGCGGAGCTTCCACGTCACTCTCCAGAAATGAAAGTTCGTTGGTCAGAGAGGCAGACGCGCTGCAGTGAAGACAAGTCTCCGTGTTTCTCTGAGAGAAAAGTCAAAGTGACGTCATCAGGTGTTCCTCAGCAACACAGCAGAGTCTCTTCAGAACACTGGTGAGTACAGCTGGTCACATTTACACCTTCAACAAGCAGGAAGAACACACAACTTGTACTTTACTCAGGCAGGAAGTTCCTCTCTGTTCACTTCCTACTTGATAGAATGTTAACAATGAAGCCACGTGTGTTTATCCACAGTCCCACGATACAGTAACTCAGTCTAACAGCTTCAAACTGTCCAGGACTTCAGTCACTTGGAGCTGAATCTCTGTGCTTTAAACTTTAGTGTCTCTCTGTTTCCTGATCCCTTCCTCTGTTTCCTCTTGGTGCGTCACGTTAAACGTGTTCCACAGTGAACCTGCTGGACACATTCTGGACTGGTTTCAAAATAAAACTATTCATGAAAACTATTTTAAATAAAACGTTTTTCTTCTCTTCCACAACATGTGTAGACATGGCTTCTGCAAACTATGGTCCATCTGAAGATCAGTTCCTGTGCTCCATCTGTCTGGATGTGTTCACTGATCCAGTCACCACATCATGTGGACACAACTTCTGCATGAACTGCATCAATGAACACTGGAACACCAGCGACCAGAACCTGTGTCCAATGTGTAAGAAGGACTTCATCACCAGACCTGATTTGAGGGTCAACACCTTCATCTCTGAGATGGTTGTTCAGTTCAGACAGTCTGCTCAGCAGAAAGCCAGCAGCAGCAGCTCAGAGCAACAAGAGTCCAAATCAGGAGAAGTTCCCTGTGACGTCTGCACTGGAACCAACGTGAAGGCCCTCAAGTCCTGCCTGGTGTGTCTGGTCTCCTACTGTGAGACTCACCTGGAGCCTCATCTGACAGCTTTACGCCTGAAGACACATCAGCTGATGGACCCTGTGGAGAACCTGGAAGGCAGGATGTGTACGAAGCACGATAAACCTCTGGAGCTGTTCTGTAAGAGCGACCAGACGTGTGTCTGCGCGCTCTGCAGTGTTTTAGACCACAAGAACCATGATGTTGTTCCTCTGGAAGAAGAATATGAAGAAAAGAAGGTCGAGCTGAAGAAGACAGAGGCTGAAATCCAGCAGATGATCCAGAAGAGAAGAGTGAAGATTCAGGAGATCAAACACTCGGTCGACCTCAGTGAGGAAGATGCAGGCAGAGAGAAAGTAGAAGGTGTTCAGGTCTTCACTGATCTGATGGAGTCTGTTGGAAGAGGCTTGAAGGAGCTCCTCAAAACAATAGAAGAGAAGCAGGAAGCCACAAAGAAACAGGCTGAAGCTTTCATCAGAGAGCTGGAAGAGGAAATCTTTGAGCTGATGAAGAGGAGCGCTGAGGTGGAGCAGCTCTCTCTCTCTGAAGACCACCTCCATCTTCTCCAGTCCTCAAACATCCATCAGCCACCACCCACCAAGGACTGGACAGAGGTCAGTGTTTGTCCTTCATATGAGGGGACTGTGGTGAGAGCTGTGTCTCAGCTGGAGGAGACACTCAGTAAGAAGATGAAGAAGTGGTGTGCGGACGCTGAGCTGAAGAGGGTCCAGATGTTTGCAGTGGATCTGACTCTTGATCCTGAAACAGCTCATCCTCGTCTCATCCTGTCTGACGATGGGAAACAAGTGAAACTTGGTGATGTGAAGAAGAATCTCCCAAACAACCCAGAGAGATTTTTTAATCGGTTCTGTGTTGTAACAAAGCAGAGTTTCTCTTCAGGCAGATTCTACTTTGAGGTTCAGGTTGAAGGAAAGTCTCGGTGGGATTTAGGAGTGATCAGAGAGTCAGTCAACAGGAAGGAACTCATCTCGCCGAGTCCTCAGACTGGTTACTGGATCATATGGTTGATAAATGGAAATGAATACCTTGCTCTTGATGATCCTCCAGTTGTTCTCTCTGTGACGTCTGGTCCTCAGAAGGTGGGGGTGTTTGTGGACTATGAGGAGGGTGTGGTCTCCTTTTATGACGTAGAAGCTGCAGCTCTCATCTACTCCTTCACTGGCTGCTCCTTCACTGAGAAGCTCTTCCCGTTCTTCAGTCCTGGTTTTAATGACGATGGTATAAACTCTGCTCCTCTGATCATCTCTCCTGTCGGAGTAAATTAATCATTCTCTGATTTCATGTGATGATTTTATTCATTAAAGGGAATAAATGTACATATTTTATATAAATACTGTATGTTTTTCTCTTTGTTTCTGTATCATGACGCCTTATGGAGAATATCTATTTCAACCTTTTGAATCCAGACTGTTTTATTTTCACTAAATATCCAAAGCTGAAGTTTGACTTTGAGTAAATCAGCAAAACAAATTATATCTGATGTGAAGCCTCTGAAAACATATTGTTGAATATTTAATATTCTCATAAACGCCTCTGACCTTTCCATCATGTTCACAGAATACACTTTGTGTTGTTATTGTGCATGAAAGTGAATTAATAATATAGATGCAAATGTTCTTTTGGTGTGAAAAGTGGTTTGAATTATTTAAAGTCACTTTGGCTCATTTTGATTTGTTTTGTGAATATTTGTAATAAGACTTAAAAATAAAGATGAGTGATTGTTGAAAAAAAGGAAACATACATCTCTTGAACAAGTTACTTTTGCCTCATAAATAACTTGAACTGAACACTGAACAGAAATGACGGGTTTACACAAGTTATATTTATATTCATGTTCATTAAAAACGTCTTGTTTAATGCAGGAAACATGTCCGAGTTCTTTGTTTATTGATCACGTGACAATTCGTCAGTGTGAACGACACGAGTTCCACAGAAAGATCAATTCTAACGTGAGTTAATACACGAGGTTGATGAAACTGTTCAGTGGCTTCAGATACTGAGGAGAATCCACTCAACTGAGAACCAGCAGCAGAATAATAACCAAATACAACTGTAATTATACACAAACGCTGATCCACAGTTTTCCTGCTGTAGTAACAAAGTATTTATTTGGTGCCGGAGAGCAAAACCATGAACTTAAATGATGTAACAAGAGTTTAGCAGCTGAGCTGTAGTTGTTGGAGCTGCACAGGCTGTTATTCATGAAGCAGCTTCATGAGTTTATGACGTCATACGTGTTTGTCTCCTTGATGACACGTGCACAGCGACTGGACCACGTGGAGGAGGCGTGACCTCCTTTAGATACAAAATCACCTCACGAGACAACTTCAGAGTTCCTTCACCTTTCTTTTTATTTTCCTAAAGAGGGTCGTCGTCTTTAAAATGACACAACAAAACATTTGATCACTTTTTAAAAGTCGAGAACGAACAGAAAGACGACCGATGACAAAGAAAAACACACAATAAATACTTTGAAGCATCCGAGCAAAGAGAAGATTCCTGTTTGTGATCTCATGAGAAGCAGGAAGACGGTCGGTACCAACACGTCAGACGGTGTAACCCGGGTACATGAGGCTGTCAGCACGTGTGCTGCACCACCCAGAAGGAAGGAGCCCCTTCACGGTAACACGCTCCACCTGCAGAGTGCACGCCTACGTCATGACCCAGAGACTCTGAACGCCACAAAACGGGTCATTCAGGTTTTTCATCCACATGTAGTTTTTCTCGTGTTGTTTCTGTGTGGAGAACAGAAGTAAGTAAAAGGTCAAATTCATTTATAAAGTGCTTTCCACAGACCGAGATCACAAAGTGCTGCAGGGCAGGAATTTAACACAAAGAGGTGTAACACAATACAGCCTCAAAAGCTCGATCACCAGGGGTCTTGAGGGGCACGAGGAGGGTGGAGGACATCGCGGAGAATCTGGAGTTTCGGCTGCAAGGTGAAGCGTGAAGCTTTGGATGAGCGCTGTGACGTCCGTCACGCGGCCCAGCTGCTCATGTCTCCCCGGTGGACGACGAGCGACTTCAAGCTTACGGAGGAGCTGGCAGCAATGCGGCCAATGAAAGGAACCACGACGGGGAGGGATCTGTTCACCGAGGCAAACGCATGCAGGGACAAACCGGGACTCCGATGGGACAGACTGGCAGGGGTCACCACGGATGGATGTCTGAATCTGACTGGGAAGAATGTTGGGCTTTTGAACAGAATGCAAGATAAAGCGAGTGAACTCACCGCAGAGCAGAAATTGGTGTTCATACATTGTGTTATTCATCAGCAAGCGTTGTGTAAGTCAGCGCTTAAACTCGGGCATGTGGTTGATGTTGTTACTACAGTGGATTTCATGGGAGCGCGAGCATTGAATCACAGGCAGTTTCACTATTGGAGGAGCGAGAGAGCGAACATGCTGATGTCCGGTACCACACAGCTGTCACATGGCTCAGTCCGGGCAAAGTGCTGAAAAGGTTCTGAGTTCTGAAATCAGAGGTAAAAGAGTTTTGTGAGATGAAAGACAAAACCACCCCAGAGCTGTCTGATAAGGACCGGATGGCAGATTGAACGTTTGCTGTTGCTGTGACTGCAGTGATGAATGAACTGAACACACAGCTGCAGGCCGAGGGCCTCTTTGCTCATGAAATGCACATCCATGTGAAAGCCTTCGTGACAAAGTTGCAATTCATTTCAAGGCAACTGGGCAGCAACAATGTCAAACACGTGAGAACCCTGAAAGAAGTCAAACCAAGTGATTATCATCAAGTTAAACTGATGTTCCAGCAGGAAGAACTGGTTTTTGGTCAGACATGACAATCCATTAAATATAAATGAATGCGTGTCATTTAAAGATATTAAGACGCTCATTTAGTAATGGAACGAAGACTTGAGGCCATCAAGTCCTGCTATTCAGAAAAAAATAATTTATTATCGCCCAAATTAATGTAAATCAACATGTTTTATTTGTAGGGTGCAAAACGTCAGTTTACAACATGATGCCTTTCCAGATCAAAATCGGTGCATTAACTTAAATGGAAAATTGTGCATATTGACCGTGTGGTATTGATCCAGTATTTGGACACTTGCTACATCTTTTTTTTTATTTTTTTCATATTTTTAGAGGCTTCACTTTTCTTTAGAAACCTGACAGAAGAATCAAAATGTGAAACGACCACCAACAGGGCGAACCTGCCCCCCGGTGAGTTTGGTACATATTGTTGATGTGGCATAAACTGCGGTGTTAATCTAAAGTTGACATGAAGGTGTCTGTGTTCTCCACAGCAGACGCTTGGTGCCCTGCATCATCATCTTTGTGCTCGGTGTGGGATCTCTGCTGCCATGGAACTTCTTCATCATCGCGTCTCAGGTTTCCCTTCTTTTTTATTTAAAATGAATATTAAGAAATGTGTAAAGCACAAACTCTTCACGTCGCTTCACTCGTAACATCGGAGCTTCTCGTGTCGCACTGCGGCTCTTCGTTGCTCTCGATGTTCCCAGATAGAACGACGGAACACACGGCCGGACATTTAGGATGTAGAAACCTACGCTCAATACCACGAACATTGGTCCCAGACATTCATTTTCTTAACAAAGATGTCGTTTGTTTCTCCATCTCTGGAAGTATTTCCAACGGCGCCTGGCAGCAGAACCAAGCACCACGTCGGGGGGCGGAGGCTACAGCTATGAGCTCTGGATGCCCCTGGCTGCCAATCTGCCCCTGGTGGTCTCCAGCCTGCTCAACTGCCTCTGCACCAGGTGAGTTCCTGACACGGCGGCGTCGGTTCTGACGCGTCCGACCGTCACGTGACGCGTTTCCTCTCCCCGACTCTGCGCAGCGGTTGTGGGCGTGGCCTTCCAGCGGCTCTGCGCAGGTGTTGTGGGCGTGGCCTTCCAGCGGCTCCGTGTGGGAGTTGTGATCTTAAACACAGCCCGCTCGTGGTCTCCACCATGGTCTTGATCATCGGGTTATTTGCTGCCACGGCCGTCCTGGTGGATGTCGACATGGAGCCGCGCATCTTCTTCTACGTCACCATGGCGACCATCGTGGTCATCAACAGTGGGTGCATGCACACGAGCACACACACACACACGCGCACACACACACACACACACACACACACACACACACACACACACACAAGCACACACACACACACACACACACACACACACGGTGGTCGATATCATGGTCGTGTCAGGAATCAGGAATCAGGAAACATTTATTGCCAAAATATGTCAAACATACAAGGAATTTGTCTTGGCGGTTGGTGCGTGAGAGTAGACAGTGTGACAATAGACAACAAGACAGCAGTGCACAAGTAATAAAATAAAATGAAATGCAATGGGTTAGTGGAATACGGCTATGGGTCAGTATAAAACAAGAGAATAAAGTTAGTTAAAAATTAAAATATTAAAAAAGTAAAAAATATTAAGCATAAAGTGCACTAGCGAACAAGTGACAGTGATGAGTGACGACAAAGTGAACAATGACAGTTAGAGTGACATGTGCAGTGTGAAGGGGAGTGACCGGTGTGTTATAGTCAGGCAGTGGGGGACCGGCTCTGTTGATGAGCCCGACTGCCGACGGAAAGAAACTGTTGGTGTGGCGGGAGGTCGTAGTCCTGATGGACCTCAGCCTCCTGCCCGATGGAAGGGGCACAAACAGGGTGAGAGGAGTCGGCCACCATCTTTCTAGCTCGCTTCAGAGACCTGGAAGAGAACAAGTCCTGCAGGGACGGCAGATTGCAGCCGATCAGCCTCTCTGCAGAGCGGATGACGCGCTGCAGCCTGCCCTTGTCCTTGGCTGTGGCTGCAGCGCACCAGACGGTGATGGAGGAGCAGAGGATGGACTCCATGATGGCTGTGTGTGTGTGTGTGTGTCTGTGTGTGTGTGTGTGTGTGTGTGTGTGTGTGCAGTGTCCAACGGCGTGCTGGTGGGGAGTCTGTTCGGTGTGGTCAGTCTGCTCTTCCAACAGCACTTGCGTTGGTTCATGATCGGTCAGGGGGCGTCCGGGCTCATCGCTGCACTCGTGATGCTCGTCTCCATCTTAAGTGAGCAAAAGGACCAATTCTTTGTTATTATTTTTGAACCGGTGTTATTTTATAATGAAATTCTTCGTGGCCTTTTTAGTTTCAGATCCCAAACTGTGACATAATTTTATTGAGTTGGTGAAGCAATAACTGCGAGAGTTATACAAAGAAGAATGAATCACATTTCCTGTATTTGGTAAAATGAAGCTCTTTTGCTGTGCAGGTGAAGTACCTGCGCAGGCGTACTTCATCATCCCGTGTGTCGTCGCCGCGGTAACCTTGGCGTGTTACCTGTGTCTGGGGATGTCACCAAGGACACACACACACGGCGACGGAGTCGACTCTCCTCAGCAGGACTCACAGGAGCCCCCCGGCAGCACAGGCAGGCTCCTCTCACCCTGCAGCCACTCCCGTTATTTTAAGTCCTTTATTGTCGCATTCCAGCTGATACGAGCTCAGAAGCGGCTCGTCATCAATCGGCGATCAGCGTCAAAAGCAACACGACCACAGCCGAGAAACGTCACTGTGGCAGTGAAAGTCCTCACACCGGCTCTCTGCACAAAAAACACCTTACGTTACTTAAATAATTCAATTATCTGCTTTTATTTTCAGAGGAAAATACTGTTATACACTTATTTAAATTACTTTGTAGACTTGCAGATTGATAAGAAGATATGAAACCAATCGACGCATAGATTAGCTTTTGACTGGGGGATCCCAAGTGTTTCTC